TATTACAATTTTATAATAAAAAGCGCATATAACACTTTTTTTACCTTTATCCCGTTCAAATGCAAGTTTATCGATTACCAGAGTGTTCTAAATTATCATAAAATTGTCCTGACCCTTTCGTTTCTCATATCAGAGCCTTTGATAATTGTATATCGATCGAAATATGAGAGCTCAACGCGATTTTGGTTCTGGTCTGGGCTGTTAAAAAATCTTTTTCCAAAAATCCAAATTTTGAATGTATCGGGACAATTCTTAGATGATCAGGAGTGAGGTGTCAAAGTTTCGGACAGTTTGGTCCAATACCCTTAAAAATAAAGTGTTGTATTCGAATCGACTGATTTGAAGGGGGTTTCACTTCACCTTAATACCAACAAAGCCAGGAGGAAGATCGAAGCCGTCGAAAAAATCGAGGGGATCGAGCGACCGGCCTTGGTCGATCCGGATCGATCGACGAAACTGCGTCTCGGGACGATCTGTGATCTCGCGAGTCCTCGGCCAGGGCAGTTAAACATTATTCCCACCGCGAAGAAAGAGGCATGAATTATGTATCTATCTGGGGAAAAAAAGTAGGGAGAGAAAAAGAGGAATATAATGGAGGACAAGCGCGACGTACTCCGGCCGATATGAGCGGCCGCCGCGAGTCGTCCCGGGCGGGCCCCTAGTGCCCTCTCTCTCGCTCCCGCGCTAAGCGGCATCGCGCCCTCTCTCTCGCTCCCGTCGCCGGGCCCCACCACGGTCGCGCTCCCAACCTTTGCGAGGCGCACTTAACGAGTTAATTATTGGCGACCGAGTGGCGAAACTCACGACTAGGCTTCACCGTTATTCGTCCTCCCGGAAAAGTCAAATCGATACCGGGAGCGAATCACGGATGGTTTGGCGCCATGTTGTTTCGGGACTTTTAGTAGACTGTTAAAACACATTCATAAAATTCATACACCTTTAGTACGTAAGGTTGTAGTAAAATTGTAAATCTCATGTCTTAACACGGGATTACTATATATTTACTATAAAATTGTAAGTAAATTTACAATTTCACAACGCCGGGTGGTGATTTTGTGAAATTGCGGAGAAAAATGATAAGTTTGATGTTCGAAAGTCATTTAATATGCATTGCACATTTTTTTTTATGTTTTTTCAATTTTATGATCGTTTACGTAAGTTTATTTTTAAACAAATTTAATCGAAAGGTGACAAGTAAGGAGATATTGTAGCGACATTCTTGAGTCGGAGAAATATTTAAATAATGTTTAAAAAAATTCTAACGCTGTGTTGCTTCGGGACTTTTAGTAGACTGTTAAAAAACCTTCATAAAGTTCATACACCTTTAGTACGTAAGGTTGCAGTAAAATTGTAAATTTCATGTCTTAACACGAAATTACTATATATTTACTATAAAATTNAATAAAGACATGATTGTCCTAGGCAACGATTGCTGTAAAATATTTTAATTATTCAACTTGCATAATACGAGACATTTTTCTGCAATTTATTCCCCATGTCTTATTGGTTAATCTCAATTGTTTACTTTTTATGATTGAATGCGTTTACATTTGAGCCGAGTTGCGGAGATAAATTAATGCCAGAGACAATTTTTTTTTTGATATCCGTACATTAATCGTATATAAATGTTTATTGAATCTATGTAAGGTATATAGATATCTGTGAACTCTATTTTAGATACATCAAAGGGTAGATGTCCGGACATGGTACGTAATATATACATATATCGTAGATATCTACTATAGGTGGTTTATAGATATTCATACGTATTTGTAACAAAAATAAAATTCATAACACTTTATGGAGAAGACTTCGAGGAATTCAAGGCACCCCAGCGCCCCTACACATGGGCGGCGAAACTAAAAAAGTAACGAGTGCGAATATGCAAAAGTTTTGAACCGTCAATCTGTCAATCGTGACAAAGGTATCCTGTTAAAAAAATGGTGTGAATTTTATAACATTTTTAATGGAAGTTTTACTCAGGCATAGTATACTGATTTTGTAACAGTTTCAAATAAAATATATATCATGTATTATAAAATTAGTACACACGCGTGTAATAAAATTGTGAAGGATGGTAGTAATTTTATGATATGTGTACCATAATTTCAGGACATTCCTATGTAATAAAATTATTAAAAAAAAAGTAATAATGTTAGAAGACACATTTACAAAATTATAAAATAGTATCATAGAATTGAAAGCTCATCTCAGGATATTATAAATAATACGTAGTGACTTCCGAATATAATATGTATCATTTTCCTACACATTAATGCGAGGTAAGAAGCAGTTCGCGAACGTTAGTGTTTCCTAAACGAACTGTGACAATAGCTGTAATTACTGTGGCACCTATAAAGGATTGAATTTCTTCCGTTACATGAATCACTCTCCAACCCTCCTGCCTCGTAAAACAAACTAGGCCATTTCTAGAAAAATATGACTCATAACAATAACAGTAATAACTGCGCCAAGTGATTTGCTACCTTTTACTAGAATTAGTACTTACGGTACTTAGCGTCCTTGAACTTAATAAACCGATTTCTTTCTCTTTCTTTCTCTTTCTTCTCCGAATTCCAGTCCTTCGAGAGTGGCCTTGGTATTCCGCAAGAGGTAATTGAAATTAAAAAAAAATCGTTATTTCACGTAAAAGTAAGTGAATTCAAGAATGTCCATGCGGCTCATTTTCCCACGTATGCAGTCGCAAGATTAATAAAATTTATAATAATATTTTCGGAATCCGATTCATACACCATTTAGAATTAAATCGTACAATAAAATGGTTGTCGTTTATTTAACGGCATCTTTTTTTTTAATTTATAAAGGTGTGCTTAGTCACATTTTTGTACCACTTGTAATGTCAATTAGAGTAATAAAGACATGATTGTCCTAGGCAACGATTGCTGTAAAATATTTTAATTATTCAACTTGCATAATACGAGACATTTTTCTGCAATTTATTCCCCATGTCTTATTGGTTAATCTCAATTGTTTACTTTTTATGATTGAAAGCGTTTACATTTGAGCCGAGTTGTGGAGATAAATTAATACCAGACACAATTTTTTTTTGCAATTTAGCGCTAATGTACTGATTGTGATTCAAGAACGCTAGATAAACGCAAGATTAATAAAATTTATAATAATATTTTCGGAATCCGATTCATACACCATTTAGAATTAAATCGTACAATAAAATGGTTGTCGCTTATTTAACGGCATCTTTTTTAATTTATAAGTGTGCTCAGTCACATCTTTGTACCACTTGTAATATCAATTAGAATAATAAAGACATGATTGTCCTAGGCAACGATTGCTGTAAAATATTTTAATTATTCAACTTGCATAATACGAGACATTTTTCTGCAATTTATTCCCCATGTCTTATTGGTTAATCTCAATTGTTTACTTTTTATGATTGAATGCGTTTACATTTGAGCCGAGTTGCGGAGATAAATTAATGCCAGAGACAATTTTTTTTTTGCAATTTAGCGCTAATGTCGTACTGATTGTGATTCAAGAATGCTAGATAAACGCAATATCGCTTAATCCATGCACATAATTAATTTCGCGCTGATTATTAATAAGTGGCTTAATCTGCGAGAGAGTAACAATTCCTGAATGTCCTTGGCATACATTAATGTGCGATAAAGATTCCAAGTTTATCGTACTTTAAAGCGGACATTCGCATACATTTTACGCAATTGAAGATATCCGTATTGAATGGAACATACTTATTTGACGGGCCGTTTAAATTAACGTTAATATAAATTAACAAGACTAATTAATACTCTGCAAATATTGTAATTGAAATGCTTATTTCCCTGCGCAAGCTAAACGTCATATTAATCGTCACATTAATTTGTTACTTTCAACCTCTTTTATTTATAACTTTGCATACATCTTCAAGGTTGGCCGTTTTTTTTGCTATTAAATATTTCTACTCGTTTTCACTTCCCGCCATTATGAATAAGGATTAGATATTAGTAATAATAAAAAATATCCCTGTCATCAATGTCGCCAAGTGATAAGAATGATTTATTGTGTCAGTCATAAGTAGCGATTTTTATGAACAGTTTACATTAACAGAAAACAAGGGTATTAACCCAGGCAATCCATGAAGTGGAATATACGTAAATTAATCGTCTAAATTAGGTATATAGGTATAGCAAATGTACATCGTCTATCATCCACCTAAAAAAATATCTTCAATCCTCACCAAATAAAATATTTTCAAATTGAGTTTAACATTTTTTTATTTGATCGGATTTAATTTAAAATTTCATTTGGTTAGAAGAAAATAGAAAATTCGATTTTCATAGACACATGATTTTAAGTGATAATATAATTTTTAAATACATGTACTTTTATCATGTGGAACGAAATGTACAATTTGGCAATATCTGATTCACGTAAATCGAATCGGGTGTACATAAAATAACTGTTTGAAAGAATTGATAATAAAATTGAAAAATGACCAGGGATGGCGACCGAAAATAATGTTTCTTGGTGGGAGGTAGGCTCGCGTTTTTCGAGTGACGCAGTCCTCGCCGCCTCGCGGCGAGTAATGGCGGGGGCCCATAGATAGAGGCGTGATTTTTGTCGGGCCCTCGCCGCTCGGGCATTGGCTATGCGCGAGGAGAGAAAGGCCTAAGCCCGACGCAGAGCGGGGGGCGCTTAGAAGGCCAGGCGGAATTTAATGTCAAGTATAGAGCTGAATTCCCGCCGACCAATGGCGCGCGGTCGCTCGTCCCGTTTCTGGAAAATACATTAATTTCGCCGTTGCGCAATCGGCGATCGGCCGTTGCGTGGCGTCGCGATGGACGCGCGTTCCTCGGAGGCGTTTTCGCCCGCGCGAGGGGTCGCTCTCGGTCTCTCTCGCGCGGCCGCCCCGCGCCTCGGTCCTCTCTCTCGCGCCTCTCTCTCGCGCAGCCGGCCCGCGCCTCGGGCCTCTCGCTCGGCCGGCCGGCGGTCAGTCTCTCGCGGTCGCTCACGCGCGGCGGACCTCGCTCCGTCTCGCTCCCCGGACCGGCCCGGCTCGTTCGACCGGCGTCTAATCGCGCCACTTTTGGCTGCCATCTTGAAACCTAACCTCGCCATCTCCCGGAGAGCCTTATCGCGAGCGAGTCGCACGAATTTCTGCCCCCTTTTTCTATCGCCCCCGAGATATCGCCCTCTTTATCTGCCTCTTTCCCTCCCCCGGGGTTACTCCGAGGTGTTGCGTTACGATAAACGCGAAAATTATTAGATCCGCCGTTTGCGGTTCCGGGGTGCCCTCGCGTTTTAACGAAGGAAGAAACCGATGGAACTTGCGGAATGGAGATAAGTATCTTTGTATATTACTTCTTTTACCGTTTCTGTGAAAATAGTGGGTATATATGTGAAAATGGATTTGTACATTGAACCGAGTATTTTTATCCCATATTTTGTAGCCGTTGGTGTTTCTTTTTAGGTTTCTGCTGCTATGTAAGGCGTTTTGAAATAGCTTGGATTCCTGGGTGGCGGCAGGTTTGTTTAGAGGTTAAATTTTTCCCGCGGTTGAGGAACGGAGTTGGCATATTTTTTTATTCTTACAGATGTAGCCGGGCACGAGTGCGGACTTTTTCAATGAACGTTCTGCAGTTCTTAGCCTTGCAATTCCGAGGTCGGTAAGTGTATTCAAGATCAAGGATCGCTGTCGGCCAGGAATCGCTCGGCTCGCGATCTACAATTCCATTTTACCGTCCGATCCTTTTTCGAACGTCTCGTCTGCGTTGTCTGCGTTTAAAATGCGACGCAGTGGCGACGAGTCGATGCTCTTCTTGGCCGATTAATGCTTGAATCATTAAATTATACCCCAATTGTATGACGCTAGGTCCCAAATGCTTCTAATGAATGTCGAGAATTGGGGACCCTGGTGTCATGAAATTGAGATATAACAGAATATCATAAAAATCACCGTATTATGTCGTAGACGACAAACTTGGATTTACTTCCTCGTAAAATTCCAAGTTTGGAAATATGGATCGATGGGAATGTTTGGTAAGGGATTGTAGTGGTATTTTCGTTTTCAATGTTCGCCTAATCGCCTGTAATCGATCTGTTAGACCTCTACCGGGTTGTCGCGTAGTCTCTCGGGTGCGACGATTTCGGCAAGACCGCAGAACCAGCGCTCGCTCTTTCGACCGGCAACCTTCGTCCAGGACGCATCGCGAAGGAGGACTTCACGATTCAAGGACCCAGAGATTAAACAATAATCGAGACGACGTTTGTTACCAACCATAGCCGACTGAACACCAAACCTAACAGTTACGTTACTTAAAACTAACAAATAACATAACGTTTGTTACAATATAATAACCTAACAGTTATGTAACATAGAGCTTACTAGTCACATGACATTTGTTACAATACAGTAACTTAACGGTTATGTAACATGGAGCTAACAGGTTACATAACATTTGTTACTATCATATCTATATAAATGTAGCATAACTTTGTTACTCTCATCTTATATTGTGTTACTGTCCTGATATTACTGTGTATATGCAGCACATATTTGTAACACAACGGAACTACATTGGTGCTAACTGGCATTTATTTTATTACATCATCGTCATCGTCATTGTCATAATTCATCCTAAAACGTCATAAGATTAATATATGTCATTTGCTAGTCGAATGAAATCCTAATTGCCTTTAAGTAAAATCAGACAGTTTATCATTACATAATTTCAGTGAAAGTCTGATCTGTCATTTAATATCTAACTATTGTCAAGTACCAAAAAATAATTAAACATAAAAAAATATATAATTTTGGGTAAAATTGCGTCATTTTTTTTTATTAAATGTATGAAACTAACATTATTTTAATATAACTGAACTTATAACATCAATATAACTTGTCACATAACATGTTACCTTGTTGAGTGGGAAATAATAACAAACATCTAACGTCCATGTTACTTTTATGCTACATAACATTCAGCGTTGGAATTTAATTTCAGTCCCAAACTTAATTCATAGAAAGTGTACAAGAGCATCTTAAAAAATACAATGTTCAAAGAGCAGCAATCGTTGATACCGTGTTTTTTTCGGAAGTTCTCAAGATATTCAGCAAGAACGACACCTTGCAATAGTTCTTCATTTCTTTGTCTTGGAAATCCGTGTCTAATGGCCTCGATCGATGTTAATATTTAATTTCCTTCCAAAATTCAATTCCCAGAAATTGCTGAAAATCATCTCCGAAAGTACAGCATTTAGTGGGTCTCGATAATAGTTAATATCGCGTATTTCAAGATTTCCCAGGAAATTCAACAACAACGGAACTTTGTGACCGTTTGTCATTCCTTTGTCTTGGAATTCCAAATCTAACGGACTCGATTAACGATGAAATTTAACTTCCTCCGCACGTCAATTCTCAGAAAGTGCACATGATCTCCTAAAGTATAACATTTAACGAGCATCCATGATACTTAATACGGCCTCTCATGATTTCGCAACAAATTTCGCAAGAACGAAACCTTGATATCAAGTGTCGATCCTTTGTCGTGGAATTCGAAGTCCAATGGCCTCGACTAATGTTAAAATTTAATTAGCTTTAGAATTTACTCCCCAGAAATTGCCCAAAAAGTATATTTAATAGGTCTCCATAATCATTAACACTGCACCTCCCAAGATTCCCTAAGAATTCAGCAACGATGAAACTGCGACCGTTTATCATTACTTTGTCTTGGAATTCCAAGTCCAATGGCCTCGATTAATGTTAAAATTTAATTAGCTTAAAAATACACTTCGCAAAAATTGCCCAAAAAGTACATTTAATGAGCCTTCATAACCGTTAACGCCGTACCTCCCAAGATTCCCCAAGAAATTCAGCAACGATGAAACTGCGACCGTTTATCATTACTTTGTCTTGGAATTCCAAGTCCAATGGCTTCGATTAATGTTAAAATTTAATTAGCATAAAAATACACCGCGAAAATTGCCCAAAAAGTACATTTAATAAGTCTTTATAATCCTTAACACCGCTTCTCTCAAGATTCCCTAAGAATTCAGCATCGATGAAACTGCGACCGTTAATCATTCCTTTGTCTTGGAATTCCAAGTCCGACGGCCCCAACAAATGTCAAACTAGAATCTTCAAAATAAATTCAATACCCAAAAACTGTTCAAAACGATCCCCAAACAGTACAACCATTTACCTAACCTCCATAACCACTAACACCGCGCCTGGCAAGATTCCCAAAAACCAAAAAAACAAACCCAGCACCAAAGAAACCTCCCAACCGTTTGTCATTCCTTTGTCTTCGAATTCCAAGTCCATAAATCTAGGTCAAGGCGAGTATTCAAGATCAAGGCCGGCACTCGATAAGGGACCCCTCGGATGACAGTCCACGATTAGCAACCGCCCATATCCGTCGGTTTCCAAAGTGCGGCGCAACGGCGGCGAGTCGCAGGCCTTTGTGGCCAATTCGTGTTTAAATGTTCAAATCGCAGCGGCAACTGCATTAAATTGTCTCCTATTAAAAGTGTCATGGCCACGGCGGGGGCGCGCGGGGGGAGGAGGGGTCGAGGGGAGGGGAGGGGACGGCTCGGTTCCCCCGAACACGTCGAAGCGCGTTCGGGCCGCTCGCTCGCTCGCCCGGCGCGAGTCGACGCCGCGCATGCGCCAGCCCCCAGGACCACGTGACCGCGCAGGAGCGGGCACAAAGCGGAGACACACGGGCGCGCGCACACGTGCGGAAACCGTTGCACGTGTAATAACGAGAGCGACGCGCCGAATGCCGACGCGAGCCGGACGGTAAGCGGAGGAGAGAAAATTGGGTTTGGAAATGGTGCATGTATGGCGCGTTTATGCGTGAAAGTGAACGGAGTGGAATTTCAAAAGCGTCTCTCGGATTGGGAGTTTTTGGGCGATTGCCGCGACGGAATTTGGTTCCATTGCGTTGGCGAGTTTTTCCGGGGAATCGTTGCGGTTTATTATACCGTTTTCGATGGCCCACCTTGGTAACCCAGGAAGTGGTATATGTTAATTATTCGTCTATGTTAGGTTTGTAGGTACGGCAAATGTATATCGTCTATCATCCAGTTAGGAAATATCTAAAGGGTATGTATATTAGGTATATATGTTATGTAGGCATATATGTTAATTATTCGTCTATATTAGGTTTGTAGGTATGGCAAATGTATATCGTCTATCATCCAGTTATAAAATATCTAAAGGGTATGTATATGGTGGTCTATGTATATTGTAGATGGAAATTATATATCCACTATTGATCTACAAATATCTACTTAGTTTTTGACGCATACGAAATGTGTAATAGCTGTAGTAGGCATCTACCAAAGGTTAATCAACGTCGTTGTAAACATCGTTGTTTATTAGGCGGTCTGACTGGGCTGTTGTTTTTCTATTGTATATGGCGGTAGAAGGAGAATAGCTTAAAATAATTCTTACTTGATGCGCTGGAAATTGTTTATATGTGGAAATGAATTTATTCGTACGTGAGTTTTATAATACTTACTAATAAATTTTAGAATATTTACAGTACATGTTTCAGATTAGAACGTTTCTGGCTGATTAGGGGGTGTGATTGGGCTGTTATTTTTCTATTCTATATGGTGGTACAATTAGAATAGCTTAAACTAATTCTTACTTGATGCGTTAGAAATTGTTTATATGTCGAAATGAATTTATTCCTACGTAAACTTTGTAATACTTACCACTAAACTTTATAATACTTTCGGATTGATCTAGCTGTTGTTTTTCTATAGTATATGGTGGTATAATTAGAATAGCTTACAATAACTTTTATTTGATGCGTTGGAAATCATTTATATATCTAAATGAATGTATTGGTACGTAAGTTATGTAATACTTACTACTAGACTTTATAATACTTTCGGATTGATCTACATGTTGTATTTTTATATTATATGGTGGTATAATTAGAAAGCTTAAAAAGACTCTTACTCGATGCGTTGTAAATTATTTATATGTCGAAATGAATTAACTCAACGGAATTTGACTGGAGAAAATATTTTGTCTATTTCGTAGAAAGAGATTGCGGGTAATAATGACGAGAACTTCATGCCGTACGCCGACGCCGAGGGACATTAAGCAGCGTCGGAACGCCGCGTCGCCTTTTATACGGCGCTACGACGCCGAGAAAATTGTATTTTAAAACGTCCTATATGGCTCGTTTTCATGTGCGAAAATGAATGTAATGTGCCTCACAGTTTATTGTTGAACTTTAAACAGAAATAGCCGCGGTTGACTGTGGCGACAATATTTACATTTAATTATTAACTTAATTTTCCAACGGAATCGGTAATTCTTCATTTTTACGATTCGCGTAACTAAGTTTCATTGTTTCTATATTCTTCGTCAATGTTTCATTGAACGGCAATTTAGTGAGTTTAAAAATTGTTAATATAAACAGGAAAAAGGAAAATTGTTAATATGAAATGGCACTTTTCAATGTATTATCAGTGTGGGTTGATAATTCTTCATTTTTACTATTCGCGTAACTAAGTTTCATTGTTTCCCTATTCTTCGTCAATGTTTCGTTGAACGGCAATTTAGTGAATTTAAAAATTGTTAATATAAACAGGAAAATTGTTAATATAAAATGCCACTTTTCAACGTATTATCAGTGTGGGTTGATAATTCATTTCTAGGAGAAGTCAATTAACGTAATTAACTCGAAATGGAGTGAAAATGTGCATGATCTCTTTAAGAATAGTTGTGCATGACTATGTTTTCTTGTTTTTTAGGTGATATATTGTTCGTTGTGGTTTTGAGCTACTCTTGTTTATTTGTTTACTTTTGTAATGCCGGAATGCAATTCATAATGTCGTAATTGGCCGTTGTATGGTTTTGGCACGCCATCTTGCGCGATAACCAGCGATTATGATGCTGTTCTGTTTATCTCTTCCTCTTCCTCTGCTCGCCCTTCTTATCAGTAATTCTCCCTCGATAATGCGTACATTTTTAAATCTCCATATTTTATACCATTGCAATGACCTCGGAAGATTTGATCTCGCGGGGCCTCCAATAAACAAATATTCGGTTTCTTTTCGTAACAAGTGACATCGGATGACGTGAAAAGTGCAGCGAAGAGGTTAGGACGTACCACTAAAAGAGCTGCTTAATACGCAACGAGGAACAATGAATCTTACCGCACATAGCTTCAAAAAATCAAATTACCTTTGTATCAGGTTAAGGAATAAGGAATATTTTAATTACGTTACCTTATAATAAAAACGGCGGGAACCTATTCCTCAGCCTAACACATTACATTCAGATAAAGCGGAAGAATTACAGGATTTTCTTTTTAAACTTCAATACCAATTCTTCAA